TGTGTGTACCGTCAAATCAGATCTGACTGGAACAGGAGGAGAATGACCCTCCTTCCCCTGCAGAACATCTGGTGGATTTGAACCGTGTGCCTCTGGGACTGCAGTGCAGCTTCTTGCCACTAGGCCACCAGAGCTCCCTATTTGCAACTTTTTGAGAAAGCACCATACAGCCTTCCACAGTGGTTGTACCATTTTACATTTTATAACAGCGAATAAGGGTTCCAGTTTCTCCACAACCTCAGCAGCATTTGTTCCTTGCTGTTATGTTAAATTTTGCTATTCTTACTGGGGTTAGAAGATCTCTCATAGTTGTTTTGTGTACTTTATTGTTAGCTACAGTCAAGTACAACTCACAGGGCCTATGAACAGATCTGAACTCTGTCCTTTTCTGTCCTCATTGATACACTCAATTCCACTGCAGCAGACACTGTGTCAATTCCCCTGGTTAAGGGTCTTCCTCTCCTTTTGTAGTCTCTCCACCTTCCCAAGACATATCTGTTCTTTTGGCAGTCCATGGGATGTTCCGTGTTCTTCTCCAACACCACAATGCAAAGGCACCTCGTTTTCTTCTGCCATCCTTCTTCACTGTCCAGCTCTCAGATGCATAACAAATGGTTGCAAAGTCTATGACCTGAATCAGGTGTGTCTCAGTCCTCAAACTCTTATCATTGTTATGTTGTTGTTAGGTGTCATCAAGTCGAGTATGATCCATAGCAATCCTATGAACAAGAGACCTGAACCCTGTTCTGTCCTGTGCCATCCTCACAATTCCTGACACATTGGTGGCTACTGTGGCAGTCACCGTGACAAACCACTTGGTCAAGGGTCGTCTTCTCCTTTGTCGACCCTCCATCGTTCTGAGCATGTCCCTCTCCAAGGTACAGCTCCTCCTAGCACCATGCCTGAAACGTGAGGCAAAGCATCCTTTCCTCTAAAGAGCACTCTGGCTGCACCCCCTCCAATACATATTTGTTCATTTTGTAGTCCGTGGGATGTTCAGCGTTCTTCTCAAACACCACAGCTCAAAGACATCAATTCTTCTGTCATCCCTATTCACTGACCAGTTCTCAAATATATAATGAGTAGAAAGACAATGGCCTGAATCAGACGCACCTTAGTCTTCAAATTTACACCTTTACTCCTCAATAATAGTAGAGGTCCCTAACTACAGACTTTCCCAGTGCAACATATTTCCTGACTGCTGGTACCAAGGCTATGAATTGTGGATCCAAGTAAGATAAAGTTTTTGACAATTTGTCTTTTCTCCAACTATCACGATTTTGCCTACTGGTCCACTGGTAAGAATCTTTGTTTTTTACATTGACATAGAATCCAGATTGAAAGCTGATTCCTTTGATCTTCTGCAACAAGAGCTTCAAGTCCTCCTCACTTTCAGCAAGCAAGCAAGGTTGTGTCATCTATAATGCAGGTTATTGATAAGTCTCCCCCTGACCCTGATGCCACATTCCTCTACACAGAGTGCCACTTCTCAAATAATTTTATCAGCATACGGATTAAATAGGTATGGAGAGAGAATACAACCCTGACACACACCTTTCCTGATTTTAAACCACGCAGTGTTCCCTTGCTCTGCTCACACAACAGCCTCCTGGTCTAAGTATAGGTTTTACATGAGAACAATTAAGCGCTCTGGGATTCCCATTCTTTTCAATGGCACCCAAAACTTGTTATGATCCACACAGCCAAATGTCTTTGCAAAGTTAACAAGGCAAAAATAGACATTTTCCTGGTATTCTTTATTTTCAGCCAGTATCCATCTGACATCAGCAATAGTATCACTGGTGCCATGGTCTATTCTAAATCCTGCTTGGATTTCTGGCAGTTCTTTATCTATGTACTGCTCTTGTAGTTCTTGAATGATCTTTAGAAGTATTTCACTTGTGTGATACTAATGATACTATTCTATAGTTTCTACATTCTGTTGGATCACTTTTCTTGGGAATGGGAAATATGGACCTCGTCCAATCCATTGGTCAGATAGCTGTTCACTGTGTCAATCCACTTGGTCAAGGGTCCAATTTCCAATTTTCTGATGAGCGTATGCAGGGCTGCATCTGTTAACTGAAACAAGTCAACTGATAATCTCATCAATTCCTGGGGTCTTATTTTTTGCCAATACCTTCAATGCAGCTTTCACTTCGTCCATTATTACCATTGGCTCCTGCTCATATGGTATTTCCTGACATTTTTCAGTGTCAGTTCTTTTTTTGGTACAGTAATTCCATGTATTCCTTCCATCTTCTTTTGACAGTTTCTGGGTCATTCAATATATTGCCCATGTTGTTGTTGGTGACTCATAGCAACTCCATGGACAACAGCTTTGAACGCTGCTCTATCCTGAGCCAACCTTATCATTTCTTACATACCTACCTCCATTATCACAGGCACAGAATCAGTTCATCTCAACAAGGGTTTTCCTCTTTTGTGCTGTCCCTTCACCCTCTCAAGTATGATGTCCCTCTTCAAAGACTGGTCCCTCCTTGCAACATGCCCAAAGTATGTCAGATGAAGCCTCAGAATCCTTACCTCCAAGGGTAGCCTGGTTTCACCCTGTCCAGGACAAACCTGTTTGTTCTCCTAGCAGTCCACAGTATATTCAATACTCTTCTCCAGCACCACAGATCAAAGGCATCAATTCTCCTTCTATCATCCCTAGTACACTAATCAGCTTTATGATGCATAGCAAGTAACTGCGAGGACCATGGCGTGGATCAGGTGCACTTTAGTCTCTAGGATGATATCTTCGCTCTTCAGTACTCTGGAGAGGTCCATAGTGTTTCTCAACATTGTGACTTGAGGCTTAAATTTGTTTCTCAGCTTGAGAAATGCACAGTGAGTTCTTCCCTTTTTTATTCTCCAATTCCAGCTGTTTGCACATTCCATTATAATACTTTGCTTTGTCTTCCCAAGCTGCCCTTTGAAATCTTCTTCTCAGCCTTTTCACTTTGGCAAGTTTTCCCTTTGTTTTGGCTTCTCGGTGCTCTAGTGTAATTTTTAGTCTCTTCTGACATCCATTTTGGTTTTTCCTTTCTCCTCTGTCTTTGTAATGACCTCTGCTCTCTTCTCCTGGGAGGAGATTGCTCATCCTTCTTCCATGAAGCAGCGGGGTGGACTTAAACCATTTGCCTCTGGGATTGCAGTGCAACTTCTTATCAACAGGCCACCGGCGTTCCAAGTGTCAGCTATGAGTCTACTCACATCACTGCTCCTCAATAATATGGAGAGGTCTGTGACTGCAAACTTTCCCAGTGCAGTAAGTCGCCTGATCTCCTGAATGCTGGTACCAAGTGTACTGATTGTAGAGCCAAGTAAGATGAAGTCATTGACATTCTTAATCTTTTCTCCATCTATGATGATGTTGCCTGTCAGTCCAGTAGTGAGGATTTTTGTTCTCTTGATGTTGAGATTCAACCCCTATTCAAGGCTACAGTCTTTAATCTTCTGCAGCAAGTGCTTTAAGTACTCTTCACTTTCAGCAAGCAAGGTCACATCATCTGCATAAGGAAGTTTATTGATGAGTATTCCTCCAATCTTGATGCCACATTCTTCTTCACAGAGTCCAGCTTCTCTGGACTTTATGGACGAAAAGTTGTAATATTAGAGGAAGAGCCTAGATTGGCAGTCAATAAAAATGAGGAGAAATAGTTGCAAACACCCTTTAACAGCTGGAACCAGAATGTATGCAGTATGAATGCTGACTAGCTCACAGTAGTGCTCAAAGTTTATCAACTCCCTCTTTAATACTCTCCTGTTGACTGAATCCCATACAACAAATGACCATCTATGAAACACTGTGGTTTACGGAAAGAAAAAAAAAAGGTACCTGAAAAAAGTTTCCTGCAAAGATCTTTAAACTCTATGAAGAAGCTGAGAAAAGGCAATTTTTTTATCAGGTCTAAGTTCAGAAGATATTTATAGTAGATCTAAACATTCCTTTTCTACTTTGCAAGGAAAAGTAGTCAGTATCCTTCTGAACAGAGCAATCCAAGCAGCTTGAAGAGATGAGAGTAAAACCCACATCCTAAACCCAATGGCTTGAAACGTTAGATCACTGTGTGGTAATTGGAAACAAATTCTTTCATGAGGTCTGCCAAAGGCTTATGTCCAATTAACCTCATAAAACATTTTAACAATGCAGAATTTAAAAAAAAACAGGCGCTTAGAGCTTTTTAAAGTTTTTGAGTTTTTTTAGTATTGCAAGGAGTCGTGGTGGCACGGTGGTTAAAGTGTCTGGCTGCTAATCAAAAGATTAACGGCTCAGCAGCTGCTCCACAGGAGAAGGGGCAACTGGCCTCTGCACACAGTTCACTCCTGAAGACCTTACAGAGCCATTCTATGCTATCCTATACGGCTGCTAGAAAGCTCTCGTGGCTAAGTGATAAGAAATGGCACTGCCATCACAAAGGTACATGGTTCAAATCCAGAAGCTGCTCCAAGGGAGTTAGATAATTGCCTTCTGCCAAATAATTGCCTCTGAAAACCTGCTGGAGGGTCAGCTAAGGATTGGCTCTGACTCAATGGTGCAAAACAACAACAACAACAAAAACGAGTCAGAATAACTTGACAGCAACAGGTTTGATGTGGGATTTTAGTATTTCAAAGAGTGGGAGGAAACCATGGGGACACAGTTTGGTGGGCAGAGGGAAGGTGTGAAGGAATTAGGATTAATCCAGTGGAGACCTGAAAAGATGGGGCGATACTGGGCACAGATCATTGGTGATTAACTGTGTAAGGCACAGTGTATGGGAATGACTGTATGAAATCCAGAGTGAATGAAGGAATGTGGGAAACACAGGTACATGAATGAAACAATGTATACGAATTTTGTATGCAAACCAATAGAAAATAAAACATTTTGTGTGGTTTTTTTAAAAAGAAACATTACACTAAAATACTAAAGGAAAATGCCACATCAGTACCTTTCCACACATTGGCTTCGAGTGAAGGGAGGCCGACATCTTCGGTTATGAGCTTCACGGGCAGCAAGTCTTGCTTCTGACAACTGATAACAATGGACAAAGCTCATTTAATAAGTGATCAAACTTGCTCGCATTGTAGAAAAACCGAGGACACATTCTATTATCAAGGAGTACAAAATTCAAATAGCTCAAGGCTGAAAGCAAGCATTCATTACAGGGAAAAAATACAGTACAGAAAACTGGCATGGTGAGTGGGGGATTACAGAATAGTTCAAAGCAGTTCCCAACATGGTACAATATGGAGATTACACTCTCATTTTGATGTTATGGGATCTGCTGGAAAAGTGGTAAGCAAGACTACTTTCCAAGAAACCTAACAAATCTAAACATTTTCTAGTGAAAACATTCAGAAACTCTGACTATAGTTGATTCTAAAATACTAACGTCATATCTCTAAACACCTTTGAGTCAATCATTAGCTGCCCATTTAATGCAGATGTTAAAAAAATAAGCATTTTTCTAATTCCTACCCAAAATTATCATGAACTAGACTGTTTTAAAAAGAAAAAACCCAACCACCACAAAAAATATCCTTATGTGTAAATTAAGGACCAGCCACCCAATACTAATACCCTAGGGAGTCTTTGGAAACATAGGTATTTTTCTGATAGGCACCCACGTCCTACACGAAATGTCTCTGGAAACTCTATGAATTTTGATAAATGATGATACTTATAGAAAGGCTTCAAGTCTTTTGTTCATAGGGTCAATATGAGTCATGTTTGACTCAACCGCAAAAAAAACTCAGTAACAGAGAGTCTTAGGGGAATGAAATTCTTAAGATATTTCAAGCCACTAGTAATTAACACTCTTGTTAACAGCAGCCAAGAAACAAATTGCACTGGGAAAGTCAGCTGTCAGGGACCTCTCCAGAGTACTGAAGAGCAATGACATCATACTGGAGACTAAGGTGCACCTGATCCGGGACATAGTCTTCGGAATTGCATTCTATGTGTCAGAGAGCTGTACAGTGACTAGGGATGATAGAAAGAGAATTGACGCCTTTGAGCTGTAATGCTAGAGAAGTGTTGACTATACCATGGACTGACAGAACAAACAGGTTCACCCTGGAGAAGGTGAAACCAGAATGCTCCTTGGAGTCAAGATTCTGAAGTTTCGCCTGACATACTATGGACATGTTGCAGGAGGGACTGACCAGTCCTTGGAGAGGGATATCATACTCATCATGCTTGGGAAGGTGGAGGGACAGAGCAAGAGAGGAAAACCCTTGATCAGATGGATCAATTCAGTGATTGGGGTAATGGGAATAGGTGTGTCAGAGACAGTGAGATTGGCACAGGACAGAGCAGGGTTTAAGGCTCCTGTACATAGGGTCGCTATGAGTTGCAGGTGACTTGACAGCACATAACAACAGTAATCAGCTGTTGTTAGGTACCACTGAGTCCTTTTCCATTAATATTAACCCCAAGTGACAGAGGACAATAGCCCCACTAAGTATTTGTGACTGGAATCTGTACATAAGAAGACAGCCAAGTCGTTCTCCTAAAGAATGGTTAATACTCCAGTTCCTCACGAATATGACATTTTTCATATTGCCTACTGGATGAAGAGCTGCACTGCCACCATGAAGGCAAATGGTTCAAATCCACCAGCTGCTCTATAGTGTCCTGTGATTTACAGCCTCTGAAAACCGACTGGAGGGTCAGCTATTAGTCAGTTCCAACTCAAGGAAATACAACAACAGAGTTCAAACTGCACACAATTTTATTGGTTTGCTGTTGTCGTTGTATGCTATTGATTCAACTATGACTCACAGGGACTCTATGAACAACGGCTCCAGAGCCAATCTTACAATTTCCAATACACGTGACCCCACTGTCAAAGTCACTGTGCGAATTCATCTAATTCAGGGCTTCCTTTTCTGCGCTGACATTCTACCCTTCCACGTATGATATCCAAGGACTGGCCCCTCTGACAAGCCAAAGTATGTGAGACAGAGTTTCAAAGTCCTTTCTTCCAACGAACAACTCTGCATCCTCAATGTGTCACAAGCCTCAAAGATAACATATATCCAAAAGTCGACATACCTTTTCATCTTCCCATTGAAAAAAACCGCAGTCTTTTCTGTCTCTGCAGGCAGAGCAGGCATAAAACCTCCTTGGTTCTTCTTTGCCTTGATTCACCTTGACAAACAGTAGAGTAGGTCCTAGTTCAAAACACAGGGTGGGGGGAAATGTCAATCAAGAGTCACCAACTAGTTACTCCTTAGCGTCCTAGTTTTTATTGTTCTAAATATAACTTGTTTCCGTTTCAACACAATCATCACATCCACCAATGGTCGGCTACATTTTCCCCGTTGGGAGCTCTGGTGGCTTAATGAGTTGGGTCTCTCCAAAGGTTTGAATCCATCAAAGACTCCTTGAGAAACATGGGCAATTGTCTCTCCTCTGATTTACAGTCTTGGGAAAACTGCGGAAGATCAGTTATGAGTTGGTTCCAACTCAAAGGCGGCGAGATTCAAGGAGTCACGAACTCCCACACCTAAGCCTTTGACACTGGCTAGCAATAAATATTAGTCTTTGCAAACTACTCTCTCCATAAAGAAAATGCTGCCGCCTATCAGGTGGATGTCACAGGGCTGGGCGCTGAAATTAAAACAAAGAGTGGGGGCAGGAATATTCTGGAAAACAGGGCCCTTCGTCATCTCTGCCCCCCTTATTTTCTCAGGGCAAGTAGAAGCGAAGAGGGATGCAACGGCCATCCCGCAGGCTGGAGGAAAGCGGGGCAAGAATGCGCCTTTCTGCCGAACTTTTAAGTTTTTAAGTGTTAAATAGAAAAGTTTTAGTATTAAATAGAAAACCAGGCTAAACTCTCAACGCACAGCACCGAGTTTTCTTTCCAGGGGTTCCCTTTGCCCACACTCCTCCCCTTCTTCCTCTCCCTTCAAAAAGATGCAACAGCCCTGAAAACGAAGCCGAACAGTCGGGATTTTCCTGTGACAGTTCCTAAACACAGTCGGAAATAAAGGGTCGCGAGGAAAGGAAAGGGGGGAAACCCTTTAAGTCCTGGCCGCCGGCAGTCACTCCGGGCCACCTCCACCCACTACTCCGCCGGCGCCCGGTGATCACGGGATACCAGACGCGACGTACCGTGAGGACACAGAGGGGCAGGGACAGAGGGCTCCGGAGGAAACACCACTTCCACACCCGAGCTTCCCCGGCGCCCGTCGGTCCCGTTTCCCTCCTCGGCTTCTCGCTGGTCCCTGGAGGCCGCCATCTTCCCGCCGCCGTCCCGAAAGCCTCAGCCACACCTCGATGAGAAAGAGCCGCCGTCCCGAAAGCCTCAGCCACACCTCGATGAGAAAGAGCGCCGCCCGCAACCACAGCGCCCCCGCGCGGCCAGGAGGACCTGCGCCACCGGGGTAGGTGGTGGTGGTTGGACAATAAAACCTAAACACCTTGTCCTCTTCATCACACCTGAGTCCATTGCTGCAGTCACTGTGTCCATCCTGCGAGAAGATGTCAGCCTAGAGACTAAGGTGCGCCTGATCATGGTCTTTACAATTACTTGCTATACATCGGCGAGCTGGACTAAATATGGTAGAAGAATTGATGCATTTGAGCTGTGGTGCTAGAGTATTATCCACACCATGGACTGCTAAGAGAAGAGGTCTAACCTGGAGAAGGTAAAGCCAGGCTGCTCCTTAGAGGCAAGGATTTTGAAGCTCCATCTCACAAACTTTGGGCTTGTTACCAGGAGGGAGCTGTCTTTGGAGAAGGACATTGTGTTTGGATCAGTGCAAGAGAGGAATCCTGGATGAAATGGATTGACTCAGTGACTGGGGTAATGAGGATAGGTGTGTCAGAGACAGTGAAATTGGCTCCAGACAGAGCAGGGTTCAGAGCTGTTACCATAGGACTGATATGAGTTGCAAGTGACTTGATGACACATAACAACAACAACAGCAACAGTATCCCTTTGTTCTGTTTGAACAACTACTTGTCGGTTCATATCTTAAACCTAGAACCCAACCGATTGCTGTCAAGTTGATCTTGATTCCTGGTGACTTTCCATTGGATTTCCAAGACCATAAATCTTTATGGAGGAGACGACCTCATCTTGCTCTTATGGAGCAGCTGGTGGACTTGAACCATGGACCTTTCTGTTAGCTGCACGACTGGTAACACACTCTGCTATCAGAGTTCCTTTTTTTTGGTTACCTAAGTTAAGAGTTTGGGGGCAGACTTGTTAACATTTCTAATTGTTGTTGTTGTTATGTGCCGTCGAGTCGTTTGCGATTCATAGCGACCCTATGCACAACAGCCCTAAACCCTGCTCTATCCTGTGCCAACCGCACTGCCTCTGACACACCCATCCCGATTACCCCAGTCACTGAATCAATCCATCTCATAGAGGGTCTTCCCCTCCTGC